CAAATTCTCCTCTCGTAGAATATCTCCCACTGAATCAAGTTTTAAGTTAGATAAGCTTGTGGACCAGGCCTGAGTGTAAAATTTTGTCTGCTGAATGATATTTTCAAAATTAGGGATTGCTCCACCAGTTCCCCAAATTGTGTTTGCATAAATTTTCCACACATGCCAACATATTATGCCATGCAAATTGTGCTTGAAAATATATGTTAATTTCTTGCTACCTGCTTTGAGCCACCAAGCCATAAATATTTGATGAACAGTCTGAGCATTTGGTGAGCATGGAATTTCCAAAATACCCATGAAATACCTCCAAATGGGTCTTACCTTTTCACAAGTGTAGAATAGGTGATCCATAGAATCTTCAATACTCCTGCAAAGAGGGCAAATAGATGACTTAAGAACTATCTGAAATCTGAGGATATTATCTGTGGTTGGAATGATGTTATGAAGAATTTTCTATTGGAAACTCTTAATCTTCATAGTTTGCTTTGGATGCCAGGCGTGTGAAAAAGAAAATGTGTTAGGGAGCTCTTGTATGATCATATTATATGCTGATTAAAGGTGAATCTGCCATCATCCTCAGGTAACCATTGTACCTCTGCACTTAAATTACCCTCACATAGATGCATTGCAGTATAGTTAATATTACAAATCCTTCTCCAAATGTGAGAATTAGTCATTTTTGGGACTAGATTCTCTCCTCTTGGATACCTAGCCCGGAAGAAATCTGTCCAAAGAGAAATGTCTTTTTGCCACTTCCACCAGAGCTTTATAGAAAAAGCTTTTTCTACATCGGCCAAAGCTCTAATTCCTAAACCACCCTACTCATTAGGTAAACATAGTTTAGACCAACTCAGCAAGTGGACCTTTTTCTGTGATTAGAGGACCCCCAAAAGAAATCTGTCATCTTGCTTTGCAGAACTCTAATCACTCTTCTAGGTAGAGTGTCTGCAGCTAGGATGTGTAATGGAATAGAGCTAAGCACATGTTTAATAAGTCCATGGAGATGACTTGCTTTCAAATTGCTGAATAAGTCCCAAGCAGTATTTGAATCTATTGATTCCTTTGTGAAGATTTATAAATCCATTTCAATTAATTAATACTTACATTCAACTCATATTTAAATTTAACTAAATTACGTTAATAATTAAATATATTGTTATTAAATTAACAACCTCACTAATTTAACCATTTTAATAATTCAAAATGAAAAAATCAATACTTATTAAAAAGATACATAATTCAAACGACATACCGTATCTGCATAAACAGGGAAAATGGTATAAGATAGATTATATTCTTCAATCAAACTTTCAACAGATATAGTATTATACTCTGATTTAATTTTAACTGATACGACTCGAATGAAACTGCTTTGCCATATATAAAAAAAATTGTCACGGATTTGGCAGTGACAAAATCCGTGACAAACATTTTTTCGTACACTTGTCACGAAGTTTGTCACGAAAAAAGTCGTGACAAACAATTATCAGTACAACATTAATACGGTGACCTATGGAATATCAATAATTGGGTTTTGTCACAGAATTTGTCACGGACTCGTCTGTGACAAATGCCCGAAAATTTAAAAAAAAAAAGTTTGTGCCGGAGTATTTTCACGGACGAAATCCGTGACAAAAATCCATGACAAACGGGCTGTTTTTTTGTAGTGTGGCCGGACGAGCCTCCAGACCGGTCTGGCCGAACAGGAAAAGGACTCTCTCTCTCTCTCTCTCTCTATATATATATATATATATATATATATATATATATATATATATATATTTAGGTTCATGTGAGAATATTATCTTAGGAGAGAAATAAGAATAATTATGCACCATTAGATCATGCCACAAATCTAGATATTGGAATGAGATTAATCAAACGTTGATGAGGAGTTTTTGGTAAACTAACAATTTTAGTTATTAATGACCGACATTATTGCTCCACTATTTCTATTACCGTTCTTTTAGTTACGGTAAGTATTAACTTCCACATCTAGTGTTTCCTTAGTTTGACTTATTCATTTCTTTTTGTTTATAATTTTTCATTTACTTAAGTTTCTAGCTACTAAATTTATTCCATCAGCGACTTTACATTTTCATTGAATTACGTAAGTGTATATATAATTATACATTAGAGTGCACCACTATTCAGTTGCAGCCACTTACATGAAAATCATATACGTACAATTATAATTAGATCAAAAATTTGAGAGAAAAAAAATTTCATGTTCATCTTTATTTTTAAGTTGTAAAAATAAACATCTTAAAAATTCTTAATTAAATGCACTTTTAGAAGTACACTATTATTTGATACATTCTTATCTTAAACAATGAAAACTCAAAAATGATATATCGAGAATGCATGATGTAATGCACTTATGCACCATCCTAGTTAGCTTTTTTCCGTTTAAAAAACGTTTTAAACTCGTACCGTTTTTTTGAACAAAAAAACGCGTTTAAAACGAAAAATAATGTCGGTCCGTTTAAAAAGGAAAAAAACTTCCACTAACCGTATAAAACGTATAATTCTCGTATTTTACAAAAAATAAAAACATCATTTGATCACTTGAATGAATACATCAAATGAATAGGAGATCAACAATAGTTTAAAAGAAAAAATGAAAACTTCATCTCCGTGACCCCGTGTTTTCGTATTGTTACAATACAAAATATACAATTGTTAAATGCGGAAATTAATTGCATTATGACTAAAGTTAGCATCCTAAGAGGTTAAAATCTAAAATACTACTACATATTAGATTTGTGATTTTCTTTTCCAAACAAGCATATCAAAATTAAGGGTTTTTTAAATCTGACATTTTTTAGTATAAAGTTTTACACAAACAATAATAAGTGTAGCAGTCGCACAACTTTCACATGTCATCCGTCATCTAGATTAAAATGATGAGTTTAACTTGAGTGTTTTTAGTAATGTAATTTGCTACTTCAATATGTGTGCGCTCTTATTTGTTTTTATTATATGTTATATTATGAAGTATATAATTTAAATAGTATTTTGGACTTAATCATTATTTCTTTTTTGTCATGAACTTATGCTATTATGAATGCATTTTTGATGGAGTAATGAAATATTATATTTGAATGTGTGTGTATGTTGATTATCCTTTATGTACTATATGTTTTTTATGCTCTAAAAACTAGTACAATAATTTAATCATACAAAATAAGAGCCGTATTTTTAACCCGAATTTTTCGAAGAGATGTCGTATTATACACGTATACGTATTTACACGTTTTATAAAAGTCAACGTATTTTTTGCCGATTTTTTGACTGTATTTTTGTTCTGGTTACCGAATAAAACACGTACGTATTAAACCACGTTTAATTCCCGTACCGTATTTAACTAACTATGTGCACCATGTATAGTGCATTTACTTAAATAAAAAACTGCATTTGTAATTCACGATGTGATGACTGATGAGGTGCATTGTGTATATAGCTAGAGTGCATTATATTTACTTTAAAAATGCATGATTTTATATCAACTTCACAATTTCCTTTCCGTGTTAAAGTTTTATTAATCAATCTTAAGATGATTTATTTGAGCTAGTATTCAATTCAAAAAATAAAAGATTGAATGAAAGGTGCACAAATTCAACTAGCTCCACTAATGGCACTTTCAAGGGTAAAATGCACGATAATGTGAAAATTGATGCACTTATGTATTCTTCAATTGCATCACTTATGTGTCCTTTTTAAGTTGCACTTTTATAAGTATACAACTATGTATTTTTTATGATTTTAATCTTAAAAGATAAGAATTCATATACTCCGTAGTCCGTAGACACTACTAAAAGTGTATCATTATATCAACACTGGCACAATGCACCATGTATATAGTGCATTAAGTTCAACAATAAAATGCATTCGTAAATCGTAATATGATGAGGTGCAATTGGTGGCTGGTGCATAGATGGAGTACGATTTGTGAAAAAATGCATGATAGTGTCAAACTTAAAATGATTTATTTAAGATAGTGTTGAATTTGAAAAATTAAAATTAAAAAGTTTGATCGAAATATTGACCTAGCTTCACAAATTGCACTTAATCTATGTTTGGATGCATAGTAAATATTTATTTAATACATAATAGTAAATAGTTTTGAAGCTTTTTGAATAGTTATTAAATACGAATAAATTATTCCGAATTTGTTCCATACATATGTTAGTTCGGAGCACTCCTAAAATCAATATAATAATAATTATATAAATTGAAAACTTCCTTTACTACTTAATATGGATGCACGTGTAACATAACAAGATTACATAAAAGTCCCTATTATACTAGTTAGCGGTTACATAGTTTATCATGACCATTAATTTCCTTAATTTTAGGGATTCATATCCTTAAATAAACAACTGAATTTGGCCATTCGATCAAGTATCTCAACGGTACTCTTCTTTTCTCATTTCTCTCCTAAGCCCTCTTTCTCACCGGAAACAACCCCTATATATATATATATATATATATATATATATATATATATATATATATATATATATATATATATATATATATATATTAAAAAAAATAAAAAAACAGACTGGCCGGGCTGTTTTTTATATATATATAAATTAAAAAAGAATAATTTTTTAAAAAAATCAACCCGAATCGAGTCTGGCCCAGCCCAACCCCAATTCAAACCCGAGTCAATACCAGGCCTTCATCCCAAAAACCTAGTCCCACTCAATCCCGGCCCAAGCCCAGTACATACTTAATGCATATGTGTTTAACTCAAATCAGCGTATTGTTTTTTATTTTATTCCTAATTGTATTGTGAGCCAGATGGCAAACAATCTATTCATTTAATATTTCAGTTTTTATGACCAAAAAAATATTGTCATGTCTTTTAAAGCTAATAGGCAACACCAAGGGTGATTTCTAAGACAACAATGTTAATCCTTTACAGATAATGAGCAAATGCAATTCTTTACACAAAATTATCAAAAAAAAAGTCAGATATGATAAGACTACTAGACTGAAAGAATACAAACATTATTTAGAATTAAGAGATGGGTCCAGTTGCTTTTATAAGGACGACCTGACACACACAAAGAAGCTTGTTCTGTTGCCCAGTGAAACAAAACACCACGTTTGATAGTCGAAGTATTATTAGACATGCAAGCCCAAGGGGAACATGCGAAGAAGTAACAACAACATAAGCCTCAGAACAACAGAAAGAAAATAGATAAATATAAACTTTGTTACAAGCTCCTCATCGTCTTCCTGATGCCACAGAATCAGAAGAGAAGAGGTGCTTCACACGCGAAAGGACAGAGTCTTGCGCTGGATCATATGGGTGGTCCTTTGAAGGAATCTCCAATATGGCTGGAATTGGCTTGTTATACCCATCCACCAAAAACCTTATCATGTTGGCAACCTGAACATTGATTTATAGCGAGTGAAGCAGCAAATAATCAGCATCACGACCTCAACCCTAAAACATAAATGTAATTAAAAGGGTTTCCCAAGACCTTATTGAGTTAATATGGGATGACATGAGTACATAACAGGCAGAACCGCAGAACACAATAAAGAGGATACATATTCTACTTGTACATATAAGTTTCAAACTTGATCTTTACTTTCTACTTCTAAAGAAAGTAAGATTGACGATAAACTTTAGTAACTTATGTAAGGAATACTTACAAATTGGCTAATTAACAATATAGCAATGTCCTCTCTTGTAGTGAACTCTTTGAAAGCTTCTTCAATCTGTTTCGCCGTAGTTTCTAAAACACAACCATTAGAACAACTGAACTTAGTAGCACTTACAATAAATCAAGTATGATGAGAAATAATATGTATTAGCTGACATAATTGCAATTCACATGGAAGTTAGAAAGTCCTGTTTAAGGCACCTATATCAGAACTCAAAATGAATCCGTACTTGAATCGACAATAAGATAGTTTGTTTTCCTTCTCAGGTCCACATTGCCTACTCCAGCCAGTAAAAATCCAGTAATGGTATCCTATATTAACATGAAGTCAGACAGCTAATAACTCCATGAAGACTATTGATGCATAAAAAATCACATGTAAATAAAGCCATGCACCTCAGCACCTCCATGTATTTTGGTAGGACGTAACAAAATGTACCCAAATGAATGTGTAATGTCAATCTATACCTCTGCTATAAGAGCATCCTCGGGACCAAACAAGTTGAATTTAAATTTAGATGTTTTAAGTGAATGTAGGTGTATGCAACACTGCAAAGTAGTCAAACTTGAGATCCTCTGTAGTATCATGTAGGGAAATAAAGACCATATATTTGAGTTTGTAACAAAAATTTATGATTTCAAATTCTTCCTTACTACTTTCCCATGACATTCAAATTCTATTCCCCATTTATTCCGTCCTTCCAACCAAATGAGCTCTATACCTTTGTATATATTTCTCCAAGGCTAAAGAGCAATGTTATACAATTTCTGTTTCCAAATGTTATATTCTTTTTGTCCTAAAGAAGAGCCCTCTTTAATATACTGTTTTCTCCATATCCAAAAAATTCAGTTTGATCATGTGAAGCTAAATGTTCTTGTAGTTTGCCAAAAAGTGACACAAAGAGTAATAGAAAAGTTGTATATCACGAGTTTAGTTAAACCAACAAATAGCTCTAAAGTATGTAAGTGGGTTCATCTTGTACTAAATCACAACAAAATTAGGTGACCTTGGAATAACTAATGGTGATAGAACTAGATAGTCTAGATTACAGCATTTTTATATCTCAGCTATCATACACAAAGAATGTTTAGATCCAGATTGGATATTGAAAATATTAACATAAATAACACAAAATATCCGCCCATTTATTTGCAGTCGGCCCTCTCGGTCTGTCATCATACCATGTGAAGTACAATGAATTACAGCACCCATCCCGCCTAAAACTATAAAGACTTTTTAATACATAGAATAGATCCATATTGTTTATTGATCAAACGGGTTACATTTTTTGCAAAAAGGTTTTGTAATGGCAAATTAGTACTCCCTCAGTCTCATTTTGTAAGATACTTTTCCTATTCACTTGGTCAACACAAATCACTCTTCATCGCTTACTTTATGAATCAAATTTTAATCAAATTTGAATCTGGTTTTTGCAACTTTGTAAAGCTTTTAATGTAGTTTCTGAATATGTAATTCTCTTTTTCTAAAAAAATTTGAGTGCGGACAGGGATCCGTTTGCTTTATCGTCGATCAAACATCGTAAACCGTAAAGTGCCTTACAATTCAGGCGGAGGGAATAATAAACACTTGACCCTTGGGACAAACCATTCTACATCTCTTGAGCACTGTTGAGCATGGGAAAAACATATCTAATCAAGCACTTAAACTTAAAAGCCCCATTAAAGTAACCAAGTAATCAGGTGTACTTTTGTATGATCACTATAGACTTCACCACATGATTATGTGCTTCTTCATCAGTGAAGACAATGTTGCAGACCAAAATTCATCGCAATTTTTATATCATCAAAGTATAATTTGTAAAAACAAGTTATAACAAGGTTGGAGAAAAGTTTGAGATTAGCAATCCTAATATGAATTAAGCATCTTTGGCCAGTGATGAATTTATAAACAAATGCAAACAAAGAACTGCATGCTACACAGAGAAGTAAGAGTCTCCACCTCATCAGCAATCATTGCAATAAGTGCTGAGCTATTGGGGCGGATTTGAGATCCATTCGCCATCTAAGAATAAAATAGGGTTAGCAGTAGTTTGATCAATGGTCAATAACATAGGAATATATTAATAAGTGTGGAATCATAATATTATTAGTTTATTACTGTTTCTTTTCATTGTACTTTTACATGAGAGCATACTCAGGAGATGTTCCACAGAAGTTAATAGTTGTCTTATGCAACTCCAAGTCTAACACTTCTTGTGCTTAACTAATTAAGTTTGCTGGCTTTGGATGTAATGCATACTCCCTCTGTCCCAATTTGTTTTGCAAAATTTCCTTTTTATATCGTTCCAAAATGATTTCCCACTTTCCGTTTTAGGTATAGAAATATGATCAAAATGACAAGTTTACCCTTGCTCCCTCCTACCCTTCTAATCCGCCATCCATCCATCCAATTATTAAATCTCATCCATCTCTGAATAAAAGGTTTTGGTAATTTAATATAGTGTCAATTTCTTGCAAAAACGTCATTTTCATATAAAGGGTCGGATAGAGGGTGTGATCTGGTGTGAAGGCTTTTGGACGATGACAGCAAGTGAACTAGTGTTTGGAGATCCAAAAAGGAGATGGAGAATGAGAAGACTAAGACCAGTAGTGGCAAAAAGGGAAACAACGTCATAGAGAGCCCAACTTTTTCGGAGGAGTTTGACTTCTTTATTCACCAATACCAATCTGCCAACCTTGTTCGGCTTTCTTCTCTCGAACTCGAATCCTTCAAAGATACTTGCATGGTTGAACTCCTCCGAGATGAAACTAACAACACTAAAACTCTAGGAGAGATTATGAAGGTTGCTTTTGGACCTTCATGGAATTCTCTTCTCTGTAAAAATACACTTGAAGCTGGGAAAGTTGAACCTGACCATCCCGCGCTTCTTGTGATTAGCTCTACTGCTATAAGATCCCTGGAACTTCTGAGGGAGTTGAGACCATTTACTAAGGAATGCCCTGCTGCAAAGCTTTTCTCTAAGCACATGAAGATTTGAACAGGCGGTTTACTAAACAAGTTAACACAACCACTTTGTATTAGAGTCCCAAACTGCCAAAAGAAGAAGATGAATGGGATGGGAGGCCTCTTTTAAGTGCAGCAGTAGGAAGAGGAAAAAACAAAACTTTCGGGCTCCATAATATTCGCTTGGGTAGAAGAGTGTAGCACCTGTTGATTCCTCGAATTCCATGGCATATTTAACTCTCCCGAGGCTCAAAAGGAAACACAGCTATTTACCCTTACTCCGGAGATCAGACAACGTAGTTTGGACAGGATGTGCATAATTCATCACAATCAGCAGGCTTGAAAAATTCAGAGTTTGGACAGGATGTGTCATGTTTTATCTTTATTTATCCAGTTTTCATATGAAAACTATATTAAAACAATTTAAATAAACAAGATAGTAATACTCTTTTCTAGTTTCTGTTGACTGCATTTTAGATTCTGCTTCATTTAGAGACAGATTTTGACAAGGTTATGTTTCAAACTTTCATGTGTATAAATCCATCCCGCTTGGAATATTTACTTCAGTAATACCCCTTCATAGCATTATTGTTATTTTCTTTTCTTTTTTCCCATGAGCCGCCCAATTAAAGATTTGCTCACATCCTCTGATTATTGCAGCATAAGCCCATTCCAGACTTAAAAATAACTGAATACACGACATAAAAAGTTGCAGTACCACTATTCTTTTAATAGGATACCAATAGTTTTGGATCTGTAATTTTCTTCTAATGATCTTTTTGTGAAATGTTATGCTTAAAAATTGATTCATCAAAGAAGACAAGAGGCAAATCAGGCAAAGAAATCCAGACAAGAAGTATAGGAGATTCATAATTCACATTAAAATCGTAAGTATACTTCAACACACGCATACCGGAACTACGGAAGGTGGGAAGGTGACAATTGAGAAGGGCCGATTGGCTGAACCACTGAAGGGTGAGCGGCAGAGTGCCGCAGGCTACGACTAACGAGGCGTGGTGCGGTGCTGGCGCCTGGCGGAGTGGCGGTGCTTCCGTGCTGCGTGCTGATGTCTGCCGGAAGGCGAAGCCGCGAGAGGAGTCAGCGATTTGGCAGGGAGTTCGACACTTCGACCGGTCGAGGATTACAGATGCCTGGGTGTCGATGAGTCGATCCCGAGATGCCTGATCAGCTTCCTCAAGTCTAGGCGGTTTGCTAATTTTGGGCGTTTGAGCCTTTGGGCCTTTCGTTAATCTTGGCAAGAGGTTTTTTTATTCTTCGGCCTTTTGGCGGTCGGGTCTGATAAAACTTTACATTAAACAATCAGCCTATTCTCAAAGGTGGAATACTGGACATAAAACATTTTAAATTCTTTTGCTTGCTTCCCCAAAAGCAGTCTCAAGACTTGCAGTTCGTATACCGTGGGATCATCCCACGGTGAGCATCATGCTCCTCCCCCAAAACAACGTAGTTTTGCATAATTTTTTATAAAAAATTCGCGTGAACAGTACACGCGTGTACAGTATTTTTTTTCTTTTTGTTCAGGTAACATGAATGATGTAACTCACATGTAAAGAAATGTAACTTACGTTGATGGGAAATGTAATCGCAGGTCAGTCGAAATGTAACTTGTCCAATACGAAGTATAAGAAATAAAATGTTGATTTCAATGTAAACAATGAAAAAAGAGAGTCTAATTGCTCAATTATTTATGCAAATGGTGAATATGTTTTGTTTTTTATATCATGACCATAAAAATGATTTTTTTAAAAAAAACTTTTTTTTGTATTAATAGTAGAAGTTGATTTTTTGGTATAATTCATGTTATTACAAATGTAATTCACGTATTAAAATACGTAACTCACTTACAGAAAGATGTAACTCAATGTATTATCAAATGTAACTGAGGATATAAGATTACATAGGTAACTCACGTATTAAAATATGTAACTCGCTTATAAAAAGATGTAACTCAATTATTATAAAATGTAACTGAGTATATTTTAACCTTACTGATAGGTAGTTTGATATAAAAAATTGAAGACAAGAACGATAAAAAATTTAGCCGGCAGCACTGCCTGAACAGGAAGATCGGAAGCAGCAGAAACGGAAGGGGCTGGAAGCTGCTTCCCATGGTTACTCTGCTTTCCGATTGCAAACTAAATTTCCCTTTATGTGGTCACTTTTAGGTGGAAATTGGACCACACATAATTTCAATGTTTGTTTGTGTGCTAAGGCTTGAGCGGAGCTTCAAGGTTCCTGAAGCTTGAACGGATGGAAGACGAGTTCGTAGATCAACGGGAAGGGGAACGGAAAGGGAAATAAAAAGGACGTTGCGCTCTTTTTTTATATTTTAAACGACACCGTATGGGGATCGGCACACCATGCGCATGGTGAGCCGAACCCACGGTATAATTTGCGCAAGACTTGAGTTTTGTGATTCTGTTTCTAATTTGGAGTTTGGGGGAGACTGGAACAGGAGAAGAGTTGTATAAGTAACAAATCAAAATTACTAAATATTAATCAGATCAACGAAAGGCGGTAAGAAAGAGCAAAACTAATTGGAAGGACCGGTATACGCCTAAGAAGGAGAATGGTGGTTTGTTTGTGTGTTTCCTAAATGTAGAAAAGTGACTTTAGGACAATCGAAAAGTAGTAGTACATGAGTGATTTTTCTTTTATTTTTAGAGTTAAAAATTATATAATAGTCATGATAGAGTATATAGACACAAACCTCCGATCTCACGATAATTCGGCCTGGACAGGGGACACCATTTATATTATTGTATTATTTGTATAATTTACACATTCATTTGTATTTACTAAACTAGCCTTTTACGAAGTTGAGCTTATTGGGCCTGTATTAGTGGCCCGACCTGCTCGTTTTCTATATATATTCCCCCTGAGAGATCGTGTAAACCTAATCCCTAACTAATGGACATTCAACATCACAATTCATTATTTTCATCCTTCTGTTTAGATCTAAATCTCTCCTTAATGACATAGATTGGATCCAATAATCCATCATTTTGGTGCATTCATTGAGATGTTTGAGCAAAATCGAGTGAGATTTCTCTGAAAACTAAAAAAAAATCATCCCATTTACAGAAAAATCCAACCAAAATTCACCCCTGCTAGGATGGCGACCATCGTATTTATATATTCATCGCCAAAGTCCTTATATTATCAACGGTCTCCTCAAGGTCGTCGTCCTCATACTATGATAGGCTCGTGAATGTCATCTTTATCTTAAGGATCAGGATCCCCTATTTACTTTCGGATGACAACCGTCACATTCATATTATGACCGCCCCCTCAGTGCCATTGTTATTATCTTACGATTTGACTCACTCATTCTCTAGCTCCCAGGATGACAACCTTTGTATTTATACATTTAGATTGACCCCTCAACAATATTATCCTCATATTATGATGAACCCCTTAGCGTCGATGCATTCATCTCAAGACCGGCTCCTAGCATCGATGTCTTGATCGAGGGACCGAGCACGACTCTCCCACCGTTCCCCGATGGTGACTACCGCACTCATATTACAACCTCATACTCAACGCTATCGTCATGATCTTAAAATTGGGTACGCCTATTCCCTTTCAGGATGGTGATCGTCGTATTTATATACTCGAGTCATCCCCTCATTGACGACATCCTCGTGTTACGACTGGCCTTTCAGCGTAGCGCAATCGTCTTCCTACCGGCTCCTCAGTGCCATCGTCGTGATCTTACAACCAGCCTCGCCTGTTTCCTTCTAGGATAGCGAACGTTATATTTGTATATTCGGACTGACCCCTCACTGCCAATGTTCTAATATTACAACATGTCCCTTAGCGCTGCCACAATCATCATCTGACTGGATCCTCAGTTGGTGATCTTATCATTAGGTTCGTGCATTCCCTTCCTATATGGCGACCATCATATTTATACATTCAGACCGGTCCCTGTTTTGGATCAATAATCATTAATTTTGAATAAGTTTAGTCATGTTTTCCTATTAAAAGAACATTAACATAATCTTTGATGGTAAGCGTTGGCATGTTGCTATATTAGTAGCACTCTTGCGTCCCTAGAAAACCTTCACAAACCTCCTCTAATTTTTGTAAGGAATGTTTCATACTCCCTCCGTCCCATTGGACTTTGCCAACTTTCCTTTTTGGATTGTTCCAAAAAACTTTGCCACTTTCCTATTAAAGCAACTAATTTGTGGTTCTGTACATTTCTCTCTCCTCTACACAAATCTCAATCACACAGTTTTTACTATTCTTATTTCTCACATGCTTTGCACTTGGCAAAGCCCACCAGGACGAAGGTATGAAGTATCATTTTCTTCTAATCTTTTGTAAGTATATGTTAACTACACAGTTATTTTGAACCTTCAAATCTTATCAAGTGGACATTTTTTAGTGAAATGAAGTGACCCGTTCACTAGGTTAAACTTGTGACGGTTGCTCCTAAATGTGTTGAAACAAACAGATTTACCTTTCCTCGTGCTCCTAAACGTGAACACAGAAACAACACACACACACTATGTATGCTGTGAGGCTTGGGGACCAACACACCCCATCATTTTGTCTTTACGCTTATTTAATTACAGATATTTATTCGGAGAATCCACAAGATACGAGGCTATTACATTGCATCATCTTGGCCACAATTTTAAATTAAGCAACTTAAATGCACTTACAGTACTTATGGCTACGTTCTAAACAAAATTGTTCAAACTATGACTAAAACATACTCAACTTTTAAAAATAGAATCACAAGGATTAAACATTACATTTCTACCTCTAATATAATTAATTACCCTCAAGTTCCCTTGGATAATTAGAGTCAATCTGGTGAAGGCGGCGTGGCGGCAGCGGTCCGATTAATCACAAATAAAAAGTCATATTCATGAAAATTTAAACTTCTAAGTCCTATTTTCAGCAAATGGACATGTTTTCTAAGTCATTCTTCCAATTATTATCAAATTCAACCAAGTGCTTATATGTTATGAAATAGGCGTAGAAATTTATTGAAAAAACATAGCCGTAGGTTGCGTAGCAGTAGGCGTAGAAGAAAGTTAATTAGGATTTTTTCACAATAAGAGTAAATTCAATATGAAATTTTAAAATTGGAGTACAACATTAGTATCGTAAATAGAAATGAATTAATGTCGTTATAAACACTCATATTTTGATATTATCATACATTAATATGTCAATACTCAATAATAGTTGAATATTATGCACTAATTTTCAAGTCTGGCAGTTGTTCTCCATATTTAGAAAACATTTTTATCATATTTTGGATTTTCAATTCCTATTGAAGACGATTTTTCAAGTTAATTTACTATCTAGTAGAACTGTAGAAGTATTGGACAAAATTCGGGTGTTTAATTTTAGTCATTGCACTGCTCAAGTGTTGTTTGTTAGATATTGATTGTCTTTTTTAAAGGAAGTTTAGTGACAAAAGAAACCAGGGATATAAATATTAGTTTACTTCTATATGTGAAGATTGATTGAAGTTAGGCAAAGCTTAAGTAGAATAAGATAGAATATCAATAAGAAAATTACTCAACTACCCAAAGCAGCTTGTTGCTTAGGCTGGAAGTAATGATTCTACATTGAGGCCCCAAATATAGAAAATATACAATGGGACACATGCTTTATATGTAAATATGTAGTAAGTATGAATTGATTATCAAATTGACACACTATAGCTAGTCAATCAATTTTTCATGTACATATAACTTCCGCACATATATTGAGTAAATCAGAGGTTTGAAAGATTATCAAAATGCTTTCTTTTTACTACGTATACACACTGCAGATGTATGGTGTTATCAAACTGAGCCGAGCCGAATAGCTAGGCAATGTGTGAGCTCAGCTCAAGCTCAACCGAATTCTAACTTGCAAACTCAAACCTAGCTTCAATAAGCAGCATTTTTCATGAAATATTACGAATGTAAGACTCATGGACAATAATATGACGGAAAAATTAGTTATTCTGTATATACTTTTACGGTCACTATGACGGAAAAAATAAACACTATTATATTAAATAAAAGGGGCTATATCACATTTATGTTTTTTCCCTCATTTTGGTCATATGTTAGATATTATTCCCAAATAAGCCAGATTATTTCTTTTTAAATTTACTCATAAAAATAACTTATAACCAAACAATGCTATACAGACTACCACTTTGAAAATAAGTTAAACAATAAATTTAAAAAATTCACAAACCATATTTAAGATAATGGGAGGACTCGATCAAT